TTTACAATTTTGTCACTTGGAGTATTCACCATGGCCCTCTCCGAGGTGGCAGACTGATGGCCAGTAGACCATCCCTCAGAGACTGGAGTGCCATCTCCAGGCTCACCTTTGTTAAGGCTGGTACTGTGCCCCTCCCCCTTCACATCTAGTTTAGTCCTAGTTGTTACATTAATCAATGGAAGTCATGCTCCTATATCTATTCAGTGCTGTTTAAAATCTTCATCAATGACACAATGGGACTGAATGCACCCTCAGCAAGTTTGCAGATGACACCAAGCCGAGCTGTGCAGTTGACGTGCCAGAGGGACAGAATGTCATCCAGAGGGACCTGGACAAGCTGGAGAAGTGGGTCTCTGTGAACCTCATGAGGTTCAACAAGGCCAAGTGCAAGGTGCTGCACCTGGGTAGGGGCGATCTTCATTATCGGTATAGGCTGGGGGATGATGTGATTGAGAATAGCCCTGAGGAAAAGGACTTCGGGGTGTTGGTAGGCAAAAAGCTGGACATGAGACACCAATGCGCACTTGCAGCCCAGAAGGCCAAATTCACATCCTGAACTGCATCTTAAGAAGCATGGCCAACAGATCGAGGGAGGTGATTCTGCCCCTCCACGCTGCTCTGGTGAGACCCCACCTGGAGTACTGCGTCCAGCTTTGGAGTCCTCAGTACAAGAAGGATGTGGAACTGTTGGAGTGGGTTCAGAGGAGAGGCATAAAAATTATCAGAGGGCTGGAGCACTTCTCCTGTGAGAACAGGCTGAGAGTTGGGGCTGTTCAGCTTGGAGAAGGCTGTGGGAAAGCCTTATAGTGGTTTTCCAGTGCCTGAAGAAGGCTGGGGAGGGACTCTTTACTAGGGTGTGTAGCAATAGGACATAGGGTAATGGTCTTAAACTAGAGCAAGGTAGATTTAGATTAGACATTAGGAAGAAGTTCTGAGGGTGGTGAAACAGGTTATCCAGTGAAGTGGTGGAGGCCCCATCCCTGGAGATATTCAAGGTCAAGCTTGAAGAGGCTCTGAGCAACCTGATCTAGTTGAGGATGTCGCTGCTCGTGGCTGGGGAGTTGGACTGGATGACCTTAGGGGTCCCTTCAAACCCAACACAGTCTATGATAACATTGCCTAAACAAGGTCAAATACTTTCAGTGGAAAACTACTAGATTAGGCAGTTTTTATAAGGAAATGAAAGTAAAGATCCCAGCATCATCTCTATTTGTTCCCATAGACATCTTTTGATATCTACAATGAATTTATCATTCAAGTACTTCGTAATCTTCATAGCCCTGGATGTAAAGTTTTCCTTATTTTCAACTTCAAGAAGGTTTTTTCGTTCAGCTCTGCTCCATCTTGCACTTATGATCACACAGTGCTCTTAGAAGAGGGAAGAAAGTGTATAAATTGTTGTTCATAGCTATATATCCTCCCTCCCTCACCAAAGACCATCACTTTTTCTCTTCTCCCACCTCCCTCTTAGCCCCAGTGTAACCAGAAGAAACCCATATTCATACCTGGTTTCTTGTAAGTGACATAAATGTAGAGTCCAAGGACTATGACATACGTTAGAAGTGCTGCCCACCAATTAATGACAAACATCACTATGCAGCACAGAATAGCTCCAACAAGAGAAATCCACATATTGTAGTATTTGAAAGCAGGGCGCCAACCTAATCAAAATATAACGTGGAGGACAGAAGAGCAAAGGCATAAATTAATTTAAATCACTACTCCAAGAGAAGTTAGGCACTATTCCTTTTTTCCTTCCTGCCTTAAATTTCATGTAAATGCATGACGCTTTCTGTTATGTACAAAATAAAAACTTTGCCACAGTTATGCTTTCAGTATTTCAACACCTTTTCAAATAATTTGCATATTTCTTACATAGTTATGTAAATATTCCTAATTTTGCCCTCTAAAAGCCTAACTTCCAAAAGGAAAGTTTGAGGATGACTGTGTCAGTCTATTGAATTAGGCTACAAGAACTTCTGGCAATAGCTTGCCTGACAATTAACTTTTGCTTTCAAATATAATACAACATGCATGATCAGCTCGTGACTTGCTCTCACATACACACACCTAATAACAGTAGTTTTTACAATTTTCACACAGCCAGAAGCTTTCAGCACATGAAAAGGAGAGATATATCCAAGTAGAAACTGGATATGCCAAAATACTGGACTGTCATCATTTTACATCCTTATTTGTCACACGTTTATGCAAAATCAAGTAAATACACCCCGACTAACACACTCAAAATTAACAAGTGTATTAGACTTACATCTGTTGTATAAAATGAAGTTATGCACATGATCTGACAAAATAATAGCTATCTACCAGTTCAGGAACTTAAGGAGGTTTTAAGTGCATTTTTACAGTACAAATGCACAATGGACTGGGTATGATATACATCTGTTCTGCAAGTACTGGGTTTTGGCTTGTTCCTATAATCTAACTAGCCTCCCACACCAAAGGCTATTATAAGAATGTGGCAATTCCACCTCCAATTCCAGTTTCTTCTGGACTGGAGGATGTAACAGAGAAATCCAAAGATGACAAGAGGGTGGTTCTTGAATGCCATGTACTAAATTAGCAAGAAACCTTTCTTCAAGAGGTTCTGAATGAACACTGAATTATCTTGTGTTCCTTCAAAGATGAAAAAATTTGTAGCTCCCAGGCTCTCCTGGATAACTCAGTCCTCAAAATTTCAGAGGACCCAGGTACACACTGTATTATGCTTATAATTCAGATGCATCAAGAGAGTCAAATGAGTATTCATTAACTAAATTGAACATTCACTTGTATTAAGGCCTTTTAAATTGTATTTTTGCATAAAGAAATTGCAGGCTAAATTCTCACACCCAAAATGGAGTTCCTACCTGGAGATTTTGCAAGAGAAGCATGGAATACAGAGAAGTTAATCAAGGCATATGAGGCCAGGAAGAAGTTAGATATAATTGGAGCAATGACATTCAGTTCAGCTGTAAAACCAAAAACAAAGTAGGCTGTTATGAAAGACAACATCCAATGGCATTGTAGACTCCAGATTTTAAAAAAAATATATATATCTGCTACAAACAACCTTATTTTCTGATATACTCTCAGTAGAAGCAGTTCTTTCTGTTCAACAAACAGAGCTAGCATCTTAATGGTCTGTTATTTACTAAGTTATCTTCCAATAGTCAGGATGTGTAACTATCAGTTTTAAAAACAAACATTTTTCTGGACTACCAAGTGTTTTTCTTTTCCTACCAAGTGTTCTAGGACTGTTACTTTTGAAGCACTATATACTTTCTCAAAATAATTAATTGAAAAAATTTCTCTTCCGTCATGGCTTGATCAAATGATGTACCAAATACACCAGGTTCTAAAGAACATCAGAAACGGTAGACAAAACACTACCATAGACAAAACATTACCTCTGCAGTATGTCTCTAGCTCAATTCTCCAACAGTAAAAAACAAGATAATCTCAAGTTTAAGAGACAATCAACTACGGTGAATAGCAACAGCAGACAAAGTTATTGCAAGCAATGTGACAAACGTTCATTTGCCTGCATTTTAAAGGAAAAGTTGCATTAACAGTGCTAGTATAGTGCGTTCCTACAGACCAATACCATCAAAACAGTGATGATTACACCCTCTTTAGTGAAAGAGATGGAAGAACTTGATGCTTTCCTTTCCTTGAGGCTGCATGGTACAAAACATCTGTACATGTACTGTTGCCATTAAATAAAAAGTAATCAAAATGCAGAATTTGCCATGTGAGTCTGCAAGTTTCTACTTGTCGCAATCAAGCTTCCAGTCAGCATGCTGCAGTAGGCACAGCATGGGTATACCTGTGCCTTAAGCTGACTAAGAGGAAGGATAGGAGAGGAAACTGTGAAAAGAAGTTCAAAAGCATTGGTACAGGACTCCTGGGTGGACACAGCACAATTAGTTTGCCATCTACACAGAACACCTTGTTTTACTAAACTATCTTTACCTTTAGCAATAGCAGCATCAGCACTCATCTCTACTGTTTGAAACTTAACAGAAAAAACATACTTAAAAAATTATTGTTCATCCAAGTTGGCCATTTACTGAAGCTGTCTGTAATTACTAAAAATCTGAAATAAACTTTCATATTTACAAGATAAAGCATCTCTCTAGCTCAAGCAAAAGATGTATTTTTATTGATCAGTAGTACCTAAAGACAGAGATCCTTATCTGTGTAGATTAAGAAAAGTGCAGTATTGCTACAGTTTGATTCTAACTTACTGCAGTTCTAAACAGAGTTATATCTAGAAGACAGGAGAAAGTAATCCTCAAAATAAACAGCTTTAGAATGCTAGCTTAGAATTAAGCTGTAGAACACTGTCATCAAGACATGATATGGAATACAATACTTCGTAAAGCTCTAAAGGATATTGAGATGTATTATAATTTAAAACTAACCAATTAGTATGAATCCAAGAGCAATTAGAAATGTTAGAAGATATCCTCTCAGTGGTTCATTGTTCTTCCCATAGCCTTTAGCAAACATCTGAAATCCTGGATAAATGTTGTCCTTGCATAAAGCCTAAGAAAAAAAAATAAAATTCAAGAGTTAGCATGCATTTTGTTCAAAATGTATCGCTATGAATGCTGTCTTCCACTACAAATTATCTTCCTGAAAGGCTTATAGCCACCATGCACTAATTTTATTTCCAATTGCCTTTTCATCTTTACATTTTGCAATTTACAATACTCTATCCTTCAGTAATTTCTGTTTATAAGAACAAGCTTTGTTCTTCTGTAAGTAATTGACTATTTCACTTTACTAGTGTATTACAGTTACAAAGACTTCTTCCGTAAAGAAAATGTTTTCTCAGAAAGCGGAAAGCTTGCCCAATAGTATACATTAGTTCTCTCCATCAATACTTGTGCTTGTACTCTACAACAAAATCCCTTCCACATTTGACTCCTTATTGTGCTTTTGGGAAAGAAGGTCATTACAGGCCACTAAAGTTTTACCCAATTAAAGAGAACTTGTAAGACAGTGAGATTAAATGATTAAAAAGAAGGTAAAGCAAAATACACTCAGTAACACCAAGAAAATAAATGTAAATTATTTAAGCAATAACTTGTTCACAAATATTTTGATAATGTATTCTCGGAGGATTAAGGTTAGCTACAGCTACAGGTTTACTTCATGTTGTCTCCTTCTGTGATTACTTTGAGAAAGGAACTAATCTGTTATCTTTGTGCTCCACTGCTACTTACTCAAAACACATTGTAGATTCCTGTAATGTTAGCTACACCCCAACTAGTCTCTAAACTAACCAGAAACACAGGAAACCTGGGAAAAAATATAGTCTGGCTATGTTTATTAACAGTAACCCACTGTTTTCCCATTCTAAGCAACAGGTAAATATTAGATCAATCTACTGATGCCAACTGGTATGAATCATGATTGGCAGTACATCAGAGATCCCTTCCAAAAATTCTGATTCAAAAGTTGATAGACATTTTTCTTTAGAAGATTATGCTTTTGTTTCTATACTTACCTGGAAGATCTTAGGTGCACTCACAAGAGATGCTAATGCAGAAGACAGGGTGGCTGAAAAAATACCTGCAGAAATCAGTGGTGCAAATCCTGACACCATGCTCATCACCTGAAATAAAATAATTGTTTTTCAAAAGAATATGAAAAAGTGTTTTATACAAATGGATGGCAACATTAACTACACAAACAGAAAAATAAAATACTACATATGTACCCTACACTTAAAAGCTGTTTGAATGTAATGCATTCCGATCAATGAATGAACTAGCAACAAATCGGGGGATATAAATGGATTCAGAACAATAAAAGGCAGTTTTTCACTTATTTCAACACTCATTCCAATGCTTAGGAATTTGTTACATATTTTAACTAGCCTAGCACTGAGTAACATGGTCTCAGAAAGCCCAAATGACAAAGCAACTGAAATTGTGCAATACCTTAGGAAGGCCTGGATGAGGAAAAAAACCTCCAAAGCCAAAAAAAAAAAATCAAACAAACAGCAAGGGAAACTCCAACTGAGTATTAGAAAAACAAAATTCCAGGGAAGGTGACCAAGTACTGCAGCAGGTTGCCCAGAGATGCTGTCCAGTCTCCACGACAAAGTTTTCAAAACCCTAACAAAAAGTTGGGGCATAAGGGGCACTGCATTCTCTGTGCAGCACTCCTAGCCTTGAAACTGGACATTTTCCTATTTGGAATCCACAGAGTTCCTATTTTTTCCACAGAGAGAAGCAAGAATAATTTAGGAGATATAAGTACTCTCTAGACCAAATGGTAAGAAAAGAGAAAATTACTAAATTATTAGAAGTACAGGCAACTTTTATGGTAAGCAACCTTACCGAAGTTATGACTTAAAGAAAAATACAGTCAGATGAAGCCAGTTCTATGCTATTCTCAGCTGTACATTTGATGATATATTGTGTTCTTTCGAGCTTAAACAAATAAGGAAAGAATCAGATTTTGCAGAATAACTATTCCCACAAGAACAATTCTGAAGTGTTTCTAAATATACTTTTCCTAAACCAGAACAAAGTAACACCACACAAATACTCAAATTACTCCACTACAAAAATGTATTTTACTCTAATAAGAGTGATCTGCACTGCAATATTATTTCAGCATGTAGGAAACAGGTTTTCCACCCAGCTTTGCAGGTAAGGCTGTCAGCCTAACGTGTAAGTAGTACATGCAATAAGTATATATACCACATATGCTTCTGATCAAAACCCACAAGTCAGACACCAGCTAATCTCAAATTTTTGTATGCTTGTTAGAAAAACTTAGAGCAAAGATGGACAACCACAAAGCAAGATTAAGTCAATCGGCAATAAGGATATTTTCCTTGGCTTCTTTCAAATTTTTAAGGATAGTTCATGGACATCCCAATTACCTGTGAAGTACAAGTTGAAGAGTATGAACTACCCCTTGACTTACAGAGTATTTTTAAATACAGTAACATGAGGTTTTATGAAAATTCACATTCTTGCCATTACTGTGACAAGTATGTAAAACATTCTTAAAAAGTCAGCACGATTTCTAAGAAACTTCAAAAATTAAGGAACAAGTTACTGACAGAGGCCACACCTATGATTACTATGCATCACTACTGAACAATGAGCACTTCTATTCACATTACTGAATTATGACATTCAAATATCTGAAGAAAGTTTTAGTTCCACCCCTTAACCAAAGTAGTTCACTCAGGTTAATTATTTATGCCATCTGCGTAAACAGACATTCAAAAGGTTTTAACATAGTTACAGTATTCTACACACTAGCTAGTGAACCAATTAATTATTCCAGATAAGACCTGTATTTATGGAGGTAGGCATTTTTAGCCTATGATTTTTCTTAATATGAAATTCAGAAAAGAACAAACACAAAAGCCAATAAAAGATTTAGGAGAAAGTTCTATACCTGGAAATTGTTCATCAGCCCATACTGACACCCGGTCTGACAGGATGAGAAATCATAGTTTAATTTGCAAGCTGCAGTAGTGCAATTTGTCAGTTCAGTGACAAGGGTGTTATTAACGTTCCCTGTGGCATCTCGAACAACACAGGAACCTAGAGTGAACACAGTCACAAAAAAAGGCATTAACAGACTGAATCTGAACATAAGGATATGCATCAAGCTCAATTCCCTTTTTACGTAAGCGTATTCTCACAGAACGACATTAAAATAGTCATTTACATTTTTAATACATTTCAGTATTAAGCACACCTTTACTGTGAAGAAAAAATATAAATAAGCAAATTGATTGCTCTCTTGTCAAAGATGATCTACAGTTTTTGAATAAATCTGACTTAAAGAAAAGTTTTGGCACAGAGGAAAACAATGTTAATAGACTTGCAAGAGTTTTAACAGCACAATTCTAGCTCAACATATTTATTCTTTGAATTATCTCTTTCTGCACAGCTCTTTAATTAAAGTTACTATTATGCACCATCGCTTGATTTTATAGTTTCTCATTTTGTCAGTTTTCCTAGAGGAATGCATTTTTGCAGTGTATGTACAGATGTATGTGGACGTGTGTGCACAGTGTAGTTCGTTCTTTTTCAGTCAATATGGCTCAGACATGCAAAAATTTTAGTAGTTTGCCATGAAAGTCTGTTGTAAGCCATTTTCCAATGCTCAAACAAGCCATCTCCTGCGTGACTGTGGTATTTTACGTT